GTCAGTGCATGGGCCCGTCTGGCCAGATGGTATTTTGGCTGCACAACCTTTACACACACACACACGCACACGCACACACGCACGCGCGCGTGCACACACACACACACACACACACGTTTCTAGAATGTTGAACATGGACCACACCCCACCCAACATCCCCAATCCCAAATGCAGAGTAGCCAGGCTTCCAGACATAAATTAAAAATAAAATAAAATAAAAAACAGTTGGTCTCTGGGAGGGAGAACTCATGCAGAGATGAAGGCGAATGCCCCTGGGAACCCCTGCCACTCCCCTCAGGGTCCTCACTCCCCAGGGACCACTGTCCTAAGACAGGGTCACTACCAACCAGCCATCAGGCCTCCAGCCCCTTTAATGTCCAGTGTCCCAACCTATTTGATTTTGGTGCCAGTCCCCATTTCCCCACTTTAGCCCAAATGAATAGTGTTCAGGGGGAGGGGAGAGAAAGGGTGGGAGTGGAGGCAGCCTGCAGGTCTTTAGCTGGATTCTCCTGGTTGTAGGTCTGGCTCAGGAGACCCCACGCACTCCTTGCTGAGCCGCACAATTTCCTGGGACAGAACTTCCATGTCCTAAGAAACAAACAAGCCATCAGGGGCCAGAGAAGGTGGCAGGGGAAGCCTGGGGTGTCTTCCTTCTTACCTCATTAAGCAATGCCTGGGACAAAAAGGTGTTTGGAGAAGTTCACAGGGCCCCCAGCAGTGGGCTGGGCTCAGGAAAGGTGGATGTGTGAGGGTGTGGAAGCTCTGGAGCTGGGGTATGGATATGGGATTGCCTGCTGTGCATGGTATGCTGGAGGGTATAACCCCCACCCTGGCCACCTTCTTTCTAGTAAATGATGAGCTTGCTTCTCAGAAGCAGGTGCCAGGTCTGCATTCCTTTTGACTTGCCCAGAGATGGAGGAAATATTTGGGTGATAGGATGGGCAAGTGGACGTGTAGGTAGACACATGGGGGATCCACGGCAATCAAACAGAACAAATGAACTATCCAAAGGACAGATGGAGGACAACAGGTAGGCAGGCAGGTTGCTGGGTGTGTGGGTAAAAGCTAAGATAAGGGGTGACTGATGAGCAGGCAAGAAAGAGAGCAGGAAGTCAGGAAATGGGTGGAAAGACACGGGGCTGATGATTAGATGAATGGGAAGCAGATGAACTAATAGCAGGGGGATCGATGGGAGAGTTAAGTTGACTGTGTGGTATGAATGGATGAGTGAATGGATGCAAGGACAGAGGGAAGAGTGAACAAATAAACTGACAATAACAAGTTGAATGGAGAATGCGAAGATGAGGATGAAGGAATGGTTGGTGGATGGGGCGGGGGGCTGGCAGATGACCTAGGGGCTGTATGGCAGATGACCTAGGGAGTTGGATGGCTGCATGGACAGATGGGCAGGCTGTAGGCCACACTCGCCTTATGCAGATGCATATTCTTGGTGAGCTGCTCCTCCAACATGTTCTGTAGCTTCTTGTTCATCTCCCGAAGGTTCTCGTCACCTGGCTTCACTAGGTCTCTCAGGACACTGCCCAGCCCGCTGCGGTCTGTGTGGCCTGCTGCCACGGACACATCTGCAAGGGCCCAGGCTGAGAGCCACCCCCTCAGCAGAGCCAGAGGAGAAATGGCCAGAGCAGAAAAGAGGGAAACAGAGAACGGGGGGTGGGGGGAGGAAGGGGGGACAAGCCATACCATATAGGGGGCAGAGGCTCAGCCACATGAACCCCGGCTGTCACTAACTGCACAGCCCTGAGAAATGGGCATACTAACTAAGTCATGGAGCTGGAAAAATGTACATGACTACCTGTGAAGCACAGAGCACAGTTCGCTCTCGGCACATGTCAGTCGGTATTATTCCGATTCATAAGAAAAAAACAGGAGAGAAGAAGGTTTGAAAGAAAGGAGCAAAACAAACAAGGCGGGGGAGAAGGAGAAAGAGGAGACAGGAGAGGGGAGGAAGAGGATAGAAGGAGGAGAAAGGTGAGGAAGAGATAAGGACCCAAAGGGATACACATACAGAGAAAGAACATTTCTGGAGATGGAACAATATAGACAGGAACAGTGTGACAAGATGAAGGGGGAATGGGGCACAAAGAAGAGAGAAGGGGGAGAGAGAAGAGCAAGAGACACAGGGAGAAGGAGAAAAAGGGCAGAGACACACTAGAGAAAGGAGAGTGGAGAGATGACAGAGACCCGGAGAAGAGGGAGGAGCCAAGATAAGGGAACAGAAAGAAAAACACACAGGTATGGGCCCTGCCCTGCTCTCCCCTCCGCCGGCTGTGGTCTTGTCAGTGACTTTGCTTGGTTCCAAGAGGAGAGGAGAGAAGCCTCGGCACTGGACAGTGGGGAAGGAGGGAGCAGGTGAGAGGCTGCATGAGTGGTGAGGGCTGGGGAGGGGGCACTGACCGATCCGGCTGTCCATGACGTAGGTCTCAATGATGGCGCTCTTCCTGCAGAGGTCCTCTGCCATAGAGGCGCTGCTCACCTCCAGGTGCTTCACCTGTGGGGTGGACCCCGCCCACCTCAGACCCTGGACTGTGCATGTTCCCACATGAGGAGGGGCCGGCCAAACATCAACCACCCTGTCCCGCCTCCTGGCCATGTAGGGACAAGCAGGCAGACAGCACCTTTTCCTCTAGCATCCATTTCTCCTGCTGTGTTTCTGCCAGGCGCTGAAAGAGCTCAGCCACTTCCTCATCTGACAGTTCCGCTGGTCTCGGGGGCTGGGCCTGAGGGCTGCTGGATAAGGACTGCAAGGAAGAGGAGGGGAGAGGACAGCCTGGGCTCAGTGCCGCGCCCCAGACAGGATCAGGGCTGAGAATGAGAACCAAGCCCAGGGTCGGGGGTGTGTGTGTGGGGGGGGGTTTCTGCACCCAGGGCTGCAGGTAAACCTCAGCACCCTCAGAGACTCTGGATGCCCCTCTACCTAAAGGGGAGACTCATCATAGCCTGATGGAGAGCGTGAAGGGAGAACCTGCAGCACATGTGACCTAAATTCCAGTTGACAGAACCACCAGGGGAGAGAGGAACCAGCAGAATGCTATCACCACAAAGCACAACTGGGCTGGTCTCTTCTACAGGTTGGCATCATAAAAAGGGACCAGACGAAATTCAAGAGACTTAAGGCACATAAAGCAACCAGATGCAACATATGCTCTGAAACAAAATGTTGGTTTACAGAACACCAGCAATAAAGGACATTTTGGAGCCAACTAGAGAAATCTGATTCAGGTCAAAGTATTAGATGAGATGAAAAATTGACCAAATTGGGAGGGTTAGAGACCAGCTGAACAAAAACAGGTTACTTATAATCTCATTTAGGCTTAAAAAAAAAGAGAGAGAAAGAGGCCCGGAAGGGTATGAACTAAGGATTTATAGTGGTGATCTCTGGGTGAAGATGTGATTGCTTTGGGTTTATTTTTTAAAATATTGCTTGTGCCCCGCTGGTGTGGCTCAGTGGTTGAGCATTGACCTATGAACTAGGAGGTCATGGTTCGAATCCCCATCAGGGCACATGTCTGGGTTGCAGGCTTATTCCCCAGTAGGGGACACGAAGGAGGCAGCCAATCAGTGATTCTCTCTCATCATTGATGTTTCTCTCCTTTTTCCTTCCTCTCTGAAATCAATAAAATATATTTAATAAAATAAGTGCTTGTGTGTTTTAAATTTTTTTCTATCGTGCACATATGGAATAATAAAAAATTATTTCCAAATAAAAGTAGCTGGCAAGGAAGCTGACATAATAGACAACAATAACAAATGATAATTATGAATAGGAAAAAGGGACTTGCTGCATGGATGATGCACCTACTATGAACCACTTATGTTAATGGCACCAGGAAAGGCAGCATTAACTCACAGAAGATGGAACAGAGGGCCTTAAAGAGAATAATTTGCCTGTTCCCTACTTAGCAATCTGAATCGAAGTTAGTGAACTTGGGGAAAAGTTGACAAGGAAATGGATGTGCTGGGCCCAGAGTAAGAGGTGGTTGCAGTGAAGGGGAAAAGGAGGGCCCCAGAATTTGGGTAGGAGCAGCTGGAGCTGTAGGCTCTTCCTTGACCCTTACCCGGGCTGGAATGGTCGAGCTCTCCTTCTCACGCAAGATCTCTCGGTAACTGAAGGAGGAGACGCTACTGCTGTCCCCAGTCTGGGTCCGGCTTGGTGAGTTCATTTCTGAGAGAACCAGCTCCTCGAGGCCTGGGCAGAGAGGGAAGAGAAACCTGAGCTCCAATCCCCCAGGTCCCCAGGGCAGCGACTGGCAGGAAGAGGCAGAAATCGATTTGATGAGATGGAAAAAGGCAAAAAGATACTCAGGCAGACAGAAAGATAAGGAGAGGCAGAATCAGAAAAGGGAGTTGCCTCTCTTGGCAAAGCCACGCACACCAGAAACAAAGGTGAAGAAATGGGGAGAAAGCCCTGAGCGTCGACCTATGAACCAGGAGATCAGAGTTCGATTTCCGGTCAGGGCACATGCCCAGGTTGCGGGCTCGATCCCCAGTGTGAGGCGTGCAGGAGGCAGCCGATCCATGATTGTCTCTCATCATTGATGTTTCTGTCTCTCTCTCCCTCTCTCTCTGAAATAAAAAATATATATATTTTTAAAAATGGGGAGAAAGTTGGTGATGCAGCACAGGCATAAAAGTGGCATGCGCACTCAGACTTGGGGTACAGACAGCTGGAGAGGGCACAGGGGAACACCCACATGCAGAGAGAAAACCAGAGAGACAGCAAGCTGGAGCAGGTGACAGAGGCAGAGACCCTGGACAAGGACACGAATCAGAGCAGAAACAGAGGAAATGATGGAGAGAATTCCCGTAGCCAGGCATCTAAGTCTGAATTCCATCTAACAAACAAGGAGAATGCATAGCACATGCCCAGAATGTTTGTTGATTCATACATTAATCTGTAACAAAACAGAAAGCAAACTCCTCTTCTATAAAAAGAGGTTACTTCAGGAGACAGAGTGTCTAGGAGAGACATTGATTTAGTGTGAGAGACACTCATTTTTGCCGCGTCACTGAAAACAGGGCCACTGTGCTTAGGCCTCCAGCCTGCAGCTGCTGCGAGGTATCAGGATGGGGGGGCTGACGCCATACCCCCAGCATCTCCAGCAAGAGCAGGATGGCTGTGACGGGACAGGGAGCCAGTTTTCTCCAAGCCTGTGATATGGGAGCTGCACCAGAGCTATCAATGCATCTTATTTATTTATTTAAACATATTTATAGGCCATTTCTTTCTTAAAAAAAAAAAAAGTCCAAAGCAACTCAAATAGTTTCTTTTTTGTTGATGCATCTTCTGGCTTAAGTGGCAGAAATAACATGGACTTTAGCTGCATAATGATCACACCACAGTGTTGCTGTCTGATTGTGAGTCTGTCCCCCTGTCCGCCTAGCTCAGCTTGGAGTTCCTGGAGGACCAAGACTTGCAGGCTTTCCTATCGGGGACCCTGATCATGGGCTTGGAGGCTCAGTTCATATTTATACATACATATATACATAATGTACATTTTTATTGATTTCAGAGAGGAAAGGAGAGGGAGAGAGAGAGATAGAAACATCAATGATGACAAGGAATCATGTATCGGCTGTCTCCTGCACGCCCCCCACTGGGGATCGAGCCTGCAACCTGCAATCTGGGCATGTGCCCTGACTGGGAATAGAACCGCCTCTTGGTTCATAGGTCATTGCTCAACCACTGAGCCACGCCGGCCGGACTGTCCATATTTATAGATGAGAGGATGCATATAAGTGATTTAGAGACACTGGATGAGGTGCGGGAGTACACATGTGGGGGAAGCAGGGTGATAGAGATATAGACAGACAGAGAGAAAGAGACAAAGAGACAAAGGGAGACAAAAAAGAAAAAGGCGGGAGGAGGAAAGGAGAGAACTAGAAAAAGAACGCAGAGAGAAAGGCAGATACAGAGAGATGACGCGAGGAGGCAGAGAGATAGAAACAGAGAAGAGATACAGCAAAGAGAGAGATGGAGACTACAGAAAGAGATAATGCAGAGAAAGATAAACACAGAGAGGCAGGCACAGAGAAGGAAAACAGATCAAGTTCAAGAGTGAGGTACGAGAAGCAGCTCGGCCTTCAGGCCCGAGCCCTGCCGCCCTGGCCTCAGCCTCCCGAGGTGTGCCTCCCTTACCGGAACGGTTCTTGCTGTTGGTGAGAATGTCCTGCAGCCGCTCCTGCAGCTTATCCGCCCGTTTCCTCTCCAGGTGCAGCTGCCGCTTGAGGTCCTTGAGCTTTGGGGGAACAGGGGGAAGATGGGGGTTGAGGCCCAGCAGGGCCACCGGTGGGGGGATGCACAGCAGGAGGGGCTGTGCTGGGACACCTCCCCCTCATACCGCGGCACTGCCCTTCTTCTCCAGGATGCGCTGTCCATCCACGGTGTCCTTCACCTCCTGCGTGATAGAGAAAGTATGGCTGGTCGTGCCGGAAGGGCTGCATGCACTGTGCTCCCTCCCTGCCCCATGACTGCAAGCTGAGGCCTGGGGTGCATCTGGGGACCATAGAGGAAACAGCGACCTGCTTCAGGTTGCTGATGGTCTTCAGGTGGGAGTCACGCTCCTCCTGGGCCTGCTGGAGCTGATCCAGAACACCCTGTAGTTCCTCTTCCTTGTTCTGTAAAGCAGAGAGCAGCTCAGGCCTCAACTTGGGAGACAGTCCCAGAGCCTCTCCCTCCCCAGAGAGGAATCCCACCATGCAATAGGCACCTTCAGCTCCTTGGCGTGCTGCTCCTGACACTGCTTCAGGGCGTCCTCTTGTTCCTGCTGCTGCTGCTGCAGGGATTCCTACAAGACAAGTCCCAGATCTGGCTGTGAACTCCAGAGGCCACCACACCCAGTGACACCTGTGAGGGACTACAGCAGGGAGCCCCAGATACACAGAAAAGACACTCCTGCAGGGAACACTGTGTGCCTTTAGGCAGTACACAGAAGTGTCACGTCTAGAGCTGTACTGTTCACATCCAAGACTGACATTTGCATTTACATTTTATTTAATAAGCCCGGCCGGTGTGATTCAGTGGTTGAGCATGGACCCATGAATCAGGAGGACACAGTTCGGTTCCCAGTCAGTGCACATGCCCGGGTTATGGGGTAGATTCCCACTAGGGGGCGTGCAGGAGCCAGCCAATCTATGGTTCTCATCACTGATGTTTCTATCCCTTTCTCTCTCTCCCTTCCTCTCTCTGAAATACACACACACACACACACACACACACACACACACACAACACAGCATTACTGCAAGCCACGAATGTTGGAAGGATTTTACATATGTTCTCATTTTACATACTCCCCAGAATACTTAGTAGGTGTTATTGTTATCCCTCTTTTACTGATGATGAATACAGGCCACAAAGAAGTCAGAAAACTTGGCCAAGGTCACACATCTAGAAAGTGGCCCGGCCAGGACTCAATCCCAGGCAAATGACTGGCTCCAGCATTTTTGCTCCTCCCGGCTCTGTGACACTGTTGCTCATGCATTATGATGAGTTTGCCAGAAAACGGCAGAAAAAGCTTTTGTTTGAACAAAATGAGTATATTACAATAATTTCCTGACAGAAGTATGATTTCAGAAAAGGTGCCTTTTCAAATGTGATCTGACATTCTGCCCTATGTTTTTAAAAATATATTTCTATTCTTTTTTAAAAATATATTTTTATTGATTTTTTACAGAGAGGAAGGGAGAGGGATAGAGAGTCAGAAACATCAATGAGAGAGAAACATCGATCAGCGGCCTCCTGCACATTCCCCACTGTGGACGTGCCCGCAACCAAGGTACATGCCCTTGACTGGAATCAAACCTAGGATCCTTCAGTCCACAGGCCGACGCTGTATCCACTGAGCCAAACTGGTTAGGCTATTCTTTTTTTTCTTAATATATATTTTTATTGATTTCAGAAAGGAAAGGAGAGGGAGAGATAGAAACATCAATGATGAGCGAGAATCATTGATCAGCTGCCTCCTGCACGCCCCCTACTGGGGATCAAGCCCGCAACCCAGGCATATGCCCTTGACCAGAATTGAACCTGGGACCCTTCAGTCTTTAGGCCGACACTCTATCCACTGAGCCAAACCAGCTAGGGCAACATTCTGCCTTATTGATGGCCATTGCCTGATGCTCTCCACTAGGCTGTGCTAGTGAGCCAGGGCATCTCAGAAAGTTCCAAGGCCTGACCACTCCTTGTTCCCTGGTTTCTCATGTACCCCGACCAGGCCCTGTGCCTCATTCACCAGGCCCCAACTCACCTCAGCCTCCTTCAGGCGCCGTTCAAACCAGCCCTTGGCTCCATCCATAGAGTGTACCTGAGCTTGAAGCTCTTCCACTGTCTGCTGGAGACTCTCCAGTTCCCGAGTGCGGGCCTGGGAGAGGACAGACTGTCATGGGCCAGGTAGGTGGAGGAGTGGGCACCTCACCCACACCATCAGCAGTGCTATGTTCCTCCTATTTGAAAGGTGGATGTGCATCATCATCTACCCACTCACCTTCTCCTCTCGGATCTGGGCACGGAGCTCCTCCTCCTGCCGCTTCTTGTCCTCATGCAGCTCACGGAGCTCGCGCTCATAACGGGCCCGCACCCCCAGCACCTCCTTCTCATGCCGAAGTCGGACAGCTCCTAGCTCTTCCTTGTGCTGGGACTTCTCCTGCAGCGTCTCTATTGCTAGCTCATCCAGCATGGCCTTCCGCTTCTCAGCACTCTGGGGACCAGGAAGGTGAAGCAGGAGGATGTCAGTCAACATCCTCCCGAAGAAGGCCCACTAACCTCTCCTCTGGCCCAAGGAACAAGCCAAACTCCACCTCTCCCCCAGCCCCACAGAACTGGCTGTTACTCACCCATCCTCATGGAACTGGTCACTTTCCACCCCTTCCTTTCCCCATGAGTTGGGCCACATCACCTGCCCATCCCCGTGAACCAGGCTAATCCCTCCTCTTGCAGTCTTCCCAGAGGTGCCCACCTTCCGAGCATCCTGTAGTTCCTGGGTCAGTTGTTCCTTCTCCTGACTGATTTCTTGAAGTTGTTCCAGCAGCCGACTATTGGCCCGTAATGACTCCTAATGTGGGACAAAGGGGGTGTTTGATAAAGAGCCCCCAAGAGGTAGGCACTTCCAGTAGAACCTCTCCCTAAACCCTGTAAAGTGAGCATTGTCCTCTGCATTTCTACATGAGAAACAGGACAGACTGCTAGCTGCTTTCCAGTATTCATTCTCCCTTACTTCCCTAACAACAGACTTTGTGGTTGGGCACGTGGTGGTCTAGCTGATGTTTCCCTGCCTCCCTCACAATGAGGTGCAGCCACAGAATTAAAAGTGGTGAGTATAATATAGGTTGTAAAGGGAAGGAGCATGCTGGGCCCTTCTCCCTTTCCTCCTTCCTTTCAGATGAAATACAAACATGATGGCAGGTGAGCTTGAGCAAGCATCTTGGATGCCAAGATAGTCTTTTGTCGAAGATGGCAGAATAGCAATGTAGGCAGAACCTGGGTCATTAGTGATGGATCAGAAGCGATTGTCCCGTCCTAGCCGGCTTGGCTTAGTGGATAGAGCGTCAGCCTGCGGACTGAAGGGTACCAGGTTCGATTCTGGCCAAGGGCACATGCCTGGGTTGCGGGCTCCATCCCCAGTAGGGGGCGTGCAGGAGGCAGCTGAACAATGATTCGCTCTCATCATTGATGTTTCTATCTCTCTCTCCTTCTCCCTTCCTTTCAATAAAGGAATATATATATATATATATATATATATATATATATATATATATATATAAAGAAGCCATTGTCCCATCCCTGCTGCCTTCCTACCTAGACTCTTACATGAGAGAAAACTAAACTTCTATCTTATTCAGTAGAAACCACTATTGTTCTACTGTCTATTATGGAATCAGAATGGCTTTCCTAACTAACTGAAGAAGTTTAGTCTCAGAGAAGGGAAACAACTTGGTCTAGAACACACACGTGCTAATACGTTAGAGAGCCACACTGGAAACCAGGTCTTCCTAACTGCACAGTCTTCCCACTGCACCTCATTGCAAACTCCACTAAGCCAGCAAAGGGGAACTAGGAGAAGGCAGGTTACGGCCAGAGGTGTCACCTGAAGCTGGGAGTTGAGGTCATCTTTCTGTCCCATGAGGTGCTCATACTCAGTCTGCCGCAGCTGCAAGTCAGATGTCAGCTGAGCAGTCTGTTCCCGGAGCATATTCAGCTCTTGGGTCTTTGCTGTTTGGATCTAGAGAAAGTAGTGGTGATGGGAAATGGATTAAAAGGTGCCTTTGGGGGCCAGTCACAGGGTGTGAGCCTCCCAGTTCCAAGGAAACAGGGAGGGAAGAGGAAACAGAGCCAGGAGAGGAAGACTTTCAAAGAGAAAAACAGTGGGAGAAAGATCAACAGGGGAATGGATAAACGTGGTATATTCATACAATGGTATAGTACACAGAGATAAAGGAACAAACCAGTGCTACATATGAATAAATCTCACAGATATAATGCTGCAAGATGGAAGCCAGGCACAAAAAATGGGTGTATAATTCCATTTACATAAAGTTAAAGGACAAACACAACTAATCTATGTTGCTAGGGGTCAGAGGAGTGGTTACTTTGGAGGAAGTATATACATTGAGAAGGGCAGAAGGGATCTCTGGAGTGCAGAAATGCTCTGTGTCCAAAAAATGAAAAAGAAAAAACAGAAATGCTCTGTGTCTTGATCTGGGTGGTGGCTATATGGCGATAGATAGATAAATGATAAGATAGCTAGATAGATAGATAGCTAGCTAGATGATAGATAGATAGATAGATAGATAGATAGATAGACAGATAGACATGATTCAGAGTGTACACTTGAGACTAGTCCCTTTCTTGTACTGTGCTGGAGAGAAACTAGAATGCAAGAGAAGTAGGGGTAGATGGTGAGAAAGAAGAGGGCGGGAAGCCAACAGAAAGAAGCTGAGAATGAAACAGAAACAGAGGTGGAAGAACTGCATGGTCAGGACTACACTGCCCCAACATGAATCAGAAGCAGAGGGAGATGGGGAACTGGGAAGGGATCAGCGAGGGCTCCCAACTGTCCTGTACCTGCTCCAGGGCAGCCAGGTTAATCCTCAAGGCCCTTTTCTCAGCCAAAAGTCTTTTTACTTGTTCCTTTGCATCCGCACTCTTGATGGACACCTGGTCCCACGCCCACAACAGGTGAGAGTGGGTCCAGAATAGGAGGACAGGCAAGAAAAGACACGGAACACACACACACACACACACACACACACACACACACACACACAGAGAGAGAAGAACCACAACTAGGAAAAGCAGAAGCCCTGGGGCCTTGCCTGCCTGTACAATACCCACTTGTACTGCCCCACCCTTGCCCCCATCTCGCTGAGCCCACCAGTATGATGTACCTGATCTTGTAGGGCTCGCAGAGCTGCTGCATGTTCCAGCCGTTCCCCCTGTCGCTGATCTCTTAGCTCTGCCAGGCTCTGTGGGGACCAGATCAGGGGAGGCCATTCTAGATCTCAGCCTCCTCTGGGATACACAGAACTACACAGACTCCCTTTTTGACCACCTGAAAGCATGTTCCCAGCATTTAGGCATCTCAAAATACCCACCATCAGAGATCTCAGGTTCACCCAGACTCTAGGTCAATTACCCCCAGAGGCCTCAGACACCCCTATATCCCAGTTCCAAGCACCTCAGAAAACACCTAGGTTCCTGGTGATTTCAAACTCACTCTGTGAAAGGCCCCATCTGTGAAAGGTCTCACACTCACCCAGATTCCAGTTTGGAGGCCCCCCAATTCTCAAACACAGTCAGCCCTCAAGGACTAGAGCTTCACCCAGATTCCAGACTCCAACCTCAAAGGGTTTCAGATATACTCAACCCCCATATCCTAACTCCGAAGAGTCTAAGATCCACCCAAAATCATAGCCCCAGACTCTAGAGGGCTCACACTCATAAAGTCTCCTAGTTTCCAGCTCCTAGTGAGGTCTCAGACCAAAAATCCCACCCACCATCTGCCACTCTGGTCCCCAGTCTCTGGGAATCTTCAGACCTAGCTAACTGAAGACCCAACTTTACCCAGACTTCTGTCCCCAGCTTCTAGCAGCCTTAAACCCACAAGCTACCATATTCCCCAACCCATAGGACTTCAGACTCACCTACTCTAGGGGGAAGCCTGGAGGTTTTAGAGTCACCCAAGCCCAACCCTCAGACCCAACTAGACTTTTGCTCCAGTCGCTGGATGTCTCACCCTCACCAGTTTTCTATTCATACTCCACAGGGTCTCAGGACCACCCAGCCCACATGACCCAACTTCCTAGGTGCTTCAGACCCAATACTCTGAGGGTCTCAAATGCACTCAGCCTCCAGGCACAACAGTCTCACCCTTGAAAGTCTTGTATCTACCCAGCCCACATAGATCTCAAAGTCATCCAACCTCCAGGGAGTTCAGACTCACTCCAACTCCTGGTCTTAGTTCCCAGTGATCACAGATTTCTCCAGACTCCTGTCTCCAACTCCCCAGTTGCAGATTCATCCACACTTGTGGCATATAGCCACAAGTCCTCAGTCCTCTGAGATCTCTGCTTCATGTGGGCTCCTAGCCCAGCTCCAAGGGCTCTTGAGGCTCCCTAGTTCCCATTTTCTTAGCTCTTGGAAGGCCCAGGACCCATCCAGTCCCTATATTTCTAACACAAGAAATTTTAGACTTTCCAACTAGTCTCCCTAGACCAAGAGCTCCCTGGCCTCCCAGCCCTGGTCCCTATCCTAGCGACCTCAGAACCCAGCCCCTCACCTGATTGGCAGCGTCGAGCTCCTGCTGCAGCTTCTGATTTCTAGCCACCTGAGCTTTGAGATCAGCTTCCTTCCGCTGTTGTAATTCCTCAATCTTGTTCCTACAGGTGATGGGAAGGGGTACGTTGACCATGATCTAAGGCCCAATCTCCCAGCTCTGACCCAGTTAATTCTGGTGGGCACTGTCCCTGTTGTCCACCAATACCTCCAACCCTGGTAGTTACCGGCTATCATTGAATAGTGTCTCCTTCTCTGTCTGCAGACGGCAAAAACTGGACACATACAGACAGACATAGTTGAATCAGTGCCATAAGTCAGTCCTCCCTAGTCCCACCAAATCCCTTCCCCCACTTCCGGAAAAAAAGAAATTTACCTTTCTTGCTTCTTTTTCAGTTTCTCTGAGAGCTAGGGTGGGGAAGGGGGTACAAACAAGTGATAACAACCATAATATTAGTAAAGACAAAAATACACTTAACATTTACAGATACTTCTTGCTAAGTTCTTTTTGGAAGCTGAATTTACTTGTTATCTCATGGAAACTGAGTCCCAGAAGGGTTCAGTCATTTGGTTGCCCAGATGGTCAGCAACAAAAATATGATCTCCCAGAATTTACATCCCCAACATATTGACCAATGGCTACATAATAGAATGGCTAGGTTGGAAGGCTTGGAAAGCAGGATCATGCTTGCCTTACACAACACTGGGTCTCCAATTCCTAAGATAAGAACCTGCAGTCTATAAGTTCTTGGATGGATGGATGGATGGATGGATGGATAGATTGATGGATAGATGGATGACCAAGCAGAGCTGGGAGGACACAGAATAAAGGAATGGGGCCCACCATGTACAAGACGTAGTGGGACTACATTAGCCCACTCCATAATGAAAGCAACTCTGAGACTTAACGCTAGAGTCTGTTTCACAGACAACAAAACTGAGGCTATGAGAGAGTACTAAGCCAGCTTTTCTCTTGCTGGGGGAAGCATGGCAGGTAGGAAAGGAGATCAGGCAAAGGCCAGGGAAAGCTTGGCAGTCCTACCTTAGCAAGTTCTTCCTGTAGCCTGGATGTTTCGGCTTGCTTTGAACTCTACAGGGAAGGAAAAAGGAGGGGGCTGTCATAAGCAAGGGGGAGGTTAGGCTTGTGCTTTCCCCTGCCCTCCAGCTCCCAAATATATCTGCCCATGAGACTGTGATGTCACAATCATCTCCATGGGGTCATGAGCAGAGCTAGGGCATCTGCCCACCGCCTGGCATCCCAACCCCAACTAACCCAAACTCACCTCCAAGCCTTGTAGTTGCTCCCAGAGCAATTTCTTCTCCTCCTTCTCCATTTCCCACTTCAGCTCCACCTCTGCCAGTGGCATGGGGGACAAGACGGTGGGGGTTTGGCCCTCTGGCTGGTCCCCTTGGCCTTCAATGGCAGCTGTGGACTTCCCAGCTTCTTTCCCATAGCGCTCCTGCAGAGCTAGTGGGTAGAACAGAGATATATGATGCATAAGGTGATCTTCGAAGACCCTTGCTATGTGTCAAATAGAGGGTGAATCGAGCTTTGACCCCTCAGGTAGCAGAGACTCTGCTCCAAAGACCACAAGCCTACAAAACAAAGGTTCAGCCCCATCCACACAAATCACAAATCTTTTAAGCCCCACCAACTACTGAAATCCTGTTTATGATCAAATTAGACCAAGTTTGTTTCCCAAGCCCTGCCCATAGCCCTCCAAGGTCATGCCCACAATCTTCCACTGCCTACTTAGAGCTGAATTTTTCCTATGAACTCCTGATCCCTGGCCACATTCTACAGTCTCCCTCCTGGTCACCAAACTACCACCCACAACCCCACAATCCCCAGCTGCTCTCCAAAAATCCACATATCAGAACCCTCCCACATTCTATCAAGTTTTCTCTCAGCTTTGTTCTCAGACCCCACTGACAATCTAGGCTTAGAATCTCCCCACCATTCCTTCATTCCCCTTCTCTGTTTAGCAAACATCTTCTTTCTGATGCTCTATTTGCTAATCTGTAAAATCTGGTAGGTATTAGGCACTGAACTAAACTCAGAAAACTCAGAAATGTACCACCTCTTATCTCTACTACAGTTGCTCATGGGATAGACATCACTACACACACTTTGTAAATGAGGAATCTTTGGCTCAGAGAGGTGAAATGACTTGTCCAAAGTCATACACTGGGGTCCACGGCAGGGCCAAGCTTGATTCTGAAGCCTTTCCACCTATTCTAAGGAGGAAAACACCCTACTCAAGCCCCAAGGTCCCACACATCCCCAGGAGGGCTTCCACATACCTGCCACATTCTTCTGCAAGGCTGTATTTTCCGCCTGCAGTCTCAGCAGCTCCCCATCCACAACGCTCCCAGCCTGGGCAGCCCCTGCCTTGGAAGCCTCATCCTTCAGTTGCTGGTTCTCCAGCTCCAGATGTTCCATCTGGCTGCAGAGCTGAGCAGGGGAAGAGCGAGGTAGTGGAAAGGCAGAGAATCAGAATATTTGCTGAAATATACAAAGCACTTGGCCCATGCACTTACTTTTTAATTCATTTCATTCCCATAACACTCCTGTGATGTAATGCTCTCATGATTCATTATCCCCACTTCACAGATAAGAACACTGAGGCACAGATGTTAAACGACTTTCAAATTCACACATCTGTTAAGTGGCAGCCACAGAAGTTTGAGAATACTGAGAACAATTTTCTGCTTGCCCACTCCAACCTCACAATCGTAATCCAAGACCTCAGGCTCCTCTGGAAGTTGCTGGTCCAAGATGTCTGCATCACGGAGAGCCCCACCGCCATCCCTCTTCTGTGGTAGGGTCTGTGTCTGGGAGCCTAGGCACCACAGACAGCTTTTAGGGCATTTCCGGGGCCAGCACTGCCCATAGCCCCATATCGTCAGCCCTTGGCCTTGGAGAGGTGTACAATGCAAATAAAACTAAGCCAGCCCCTTAACTCCTGACTAAAATACATTTCTCACAGCTGATCTGACAAGATCCTTTGTCCCATTTTCAGATGAGAATACTGAGACCCACAGAGAATTTTTATTTTATTGCCTGGGATACTTTCTTTCTTCTTATATATTTTTATTGATTTCAGAGAAGAAGGAAAAGGGAGAGATAGAAACATCAATAATGACAGAGAATCATCGATTGGCTGCCTCCTGCAATGCCCCCATTGCCTGGGATACCTTCTACCCAGAACATTATTCCTTTAATCCAGTTCTTCACGACTGGCTAGTATCCTTCAGTGCTCTGATCAAATGTCACCTTTCCAGTGGTATCCCCTAACACAGAAATTCCAATACTCTCTGTACCTTTTGGTACCTTTTTGAAATTCCAATACTCTCTAGCACAGTACTCTGTTCATTCTTTCTTATCTGCACTGATCACACCTAAATTTAACTAATGTTTTTAATTTCTTAAAGCTCTGAAAAATTCTGGATCATAAATTCTAATTGACAATTAAATTTTCTTTGGTAATATGGGGTTAAAACACAGATTCTGAAACCAGACTGCTTGAATGTGAATTTCTACTCTGCCATTTATTAGCTGTGTGACCTTAGGACAAATTGCTTCCTCTCTCTGGGCCTCAGTTTTCCTCATCTGTTAAATAGGAATACTAGTAAAGCACATCAAACAGGACCTGGTATACAGTAAACACTATATAACTGTTAGCTATCAGTACTACTATTATTTGTTTACTAATCTTACCCCCAGAATGTAAGCTCCCCGTCCTACCCCCAGAATGTAAGAGTGGGGACCATTTTATGCCTCTCACAACTATTTCCATAACACAGAGCACACAGCAGATGCTAAATAATGATTTGTTGAAGTAACAACAGAACTGAAATATCTTGGCAAATAGGTGACGAGAGGCAAGCCTGGAACATAGGTGTCTCTGTGAGCACTTCCAGTTCCCAGGAGAAAAAGTGTGAAGGAGGTTCTCTACCTGGTCCAGGGCCTAGCCCAGGGTAGGTGCTGGGGAACATGAGCTAGATTTATGGAGGAACACCTGCTTCTGCCCCAATGTGCAAGGCTGTGTTCTAAGTAGTTTACAGACATCTACCCATTCAGTCCTCACAAAAGCCCTGCAGGGTAGGTACTGTCATTATCATCATTTTCATTTTAACCATTTGGGAGCCAGGCAACAGGCAGATCAAGTGTCATGCTCAAGGTTGCAGTTAGTAAAAGAGAAGCCAAGAGTTTAATCTAGGCCTCCTGGCTCTTAACTACTCCTTGCTAAGTCACCTCTCCTGGAATTGTACCTGCTTACAGGTTGGTGTGTTTTATTTGTTTTTTTAAGGTCTTAAGCACTACAGTCTCATGTGGAGCCTTGGAAATGTCATTTTGTTGTCATGATACATTTTTCCTTAAAACACACTAAAAACTTAGAAAATCATTGAGCAGAAATACAGAATAGAGACAAGGAACAAAATATAATGTCTGTAACTGCCTAGTAAGTTTAGATGTAGCCAGGACAGCAAAATCGCTGAGGAGATAGAATTATCCAACCCAGGATGAATTATGTAGAACTAGAACACCAGGCTCATGTCAGGAAGCAAAAAGGGAAGTAGCTTGAATATCTGTCCAGCCTATGTTAAACATAAGAACTTTACCCACCAACATTCTGGGGTTCCATAGCATCAGCCCCAAACATACACAAGGAGATTGAAACTCAGAGAAAAGGAATGACTTGGTCAGGAAACAGTTGACCTCAGGGCTTGGAGTCTTCTAATCACAGCCCAGTAGGTAGCCCCATCTGTCAAACCACTGCCCCCCAAACAGAAAGTTAGGACTTGTTTCAGCACCATGGACAGTGATCCAGGGCCAGCCCCTGTTCAACAGCCCTCAGCTGCCTTGCAGCTTCAGTCCCAGTGGCTCCAACCCCTCAGACCCCCCTCGGCTATCCCAGGCACCTTGCTGAACTCGGCCATAAGTGTGCTGTTCTGCAAGCGGAAGTCCTCCTCTTGGCTGTGCAGCTTTGCTTGCAGCATTTCATTTTCACTTAGCAGCCCCTCGACTTCCTGCAGTGGCAGACATGGACCAGGTCTCCAACAGGGGCAGAAAGGATGTGGAGGTAGGGCAAAGGAACAGAGAGAGGGAGAAAATGACATGGGTGGGGAGAAAATAGAGTACAGAGAATGAGACAGGTGAAATCAGGAGATACAGGGAGAAAGAGATGCCAGGAGAGATAAAAGAGGAGACAGGGAGGGAGACAGACAGGTATAAGGGTAGAGAGAAGGAAAAAATAGGGAGGGAGAGAGAGAGAGACATGAGTCAAAAAGAGTGGGAGGAAAGGGAGAGGTAGGTAGAAATAGGGGAGAGAGGAGGTAGAGAGAGATAGGGAAGGGTATAGATAGGGGAAAAGAGAGAGATGGAGAGAGAGAAAGGAAAAAAGAAAAGGTAGGATAACAGAGAGATAAGATCAGACAGACCAAGAGAAGGATAACAGAACAGAGAGAGAGGACAGAGGGAGTCAGGGAAAGAAATGTGTGAGGAAGAGAGAGGAATGGGAGAGAGAGAAACAAGAAGTCAGAAAGAGAGATAAAGAAAAGAGAAATGATGGCAGAGATAGGTACAGGTGGGGGAGAGACAAAGAGAAGGTTGGGGAGAGAAACAAGAGTCAGAGAGAGAGGAAATGAAGACAGAGAGAAGGATAAAAAGAAAGGGAGAAGGAAAGACACAGAGAGAAGCACAGGGTGAAAGATGAATGAAGACAGGTAAACAAAGACAGACACAGTAACATATGGCAGTGAAATGATAGTCATGGATGCAAGTGTACACACAGAGAAAGGCCAGTACTAGGAGATCCCAGCATACAGCAATATCCCTGCTAAGACAGTCTCCCAGACACATTCACCCATCATGGGTCCCCTTACCTGAGCTTTCTTGCTCTTGCTCAGTGCCTAAAGGTGAGCGGGGGGAGAGAGAGAAAAGGTAAACAGAGAGGGACGAGTGTCAAGGGGGGACAATGTCAACAGGGGTTGGGGGATGGTAGCTTGCATGACAATTTGTAGCCTACAAGAATGATGCAGTGAGTGGCATTCTGCTTCCATCCTTTCCTCTCTTAGTAAGCTCTTGAGGCTGTTCGTGGGTCTTAGTATTTAACCCTTCATGGGTTGGGTCTCCAGGCTCAGACATTGTGGCTGTATTGCTACATCTGTCCAAACAGGTCTATGTGGATCCCTGTCACGCAGCAGGGAAACTGCTGTTCCACTGCTGAGCAGCTGAGGGCATTGTCAGGCAGGGAAATCAGCACCCTACCAAAGAAAAGCCCAGCTTCCCGACTTTCTGCATTCTGTATTCCTTCATCTAACATGTATTTCTGGAGCACACATTATGTATAACAATGTGGTATGCATAGACACATAGCAGTGAAGAAAGAGACAAAGGAGGGCCTTGAATGCCTTGAGGGGCCACAATAGCTTATATGCTATCTCATCTTCAGAGGCCTGGAGATGGTAGGTTCAGTCTCACTTTACCAACAGGACCAGAACAAGGATGGAAAGTAGGAGCAAAAGGCAGGAGAGTGGAGGAGAGGAGGAAGATTCAAAGCAGATTTACCACTAGATTTGACTCTTTAGTTAAATGTTTGTGAATGAGAATAAGTATGTAATTGAAATTAAAAATGAATTAAGAGTAAATTAAAATTAATCGATAAATTAAGCAGGATTAGATGAAATTAGAAAACTAAAGAGATTTCATGAGAATCTGTTGAATGACTAATGATAGTATGTAACATTAGATTTGGTTCACAGAGGGGCTCACTGGAGCGATGAATGAGTCAGATGCCTACAGGGAAGCATGGGTGGGTGAGTGGTGGAGGGATCTACCTTCTGAGCTTTGTTGAACTCCTTATCCAGGTAGGCGACCTTCTGTCGAAGACTGGTGAGTTCTGGTGTGGGTAAAGCAGGGTGTCTTAGCCACAGTCAGTGGCCAGGAGCTGAAAGGTCTTCCCACCAGGCCTCTGAGGTGTTCTCCCTTAGCCTCTGTCCCCCAAGCCACCCCCCTCTGAAACCCTCTGGCTCACCAACACCATTCTTGCGTAGTTCATCTGAAAGCTGGTAGTTGTTTGTTCGGAGTTCCAGAAGCTGAGCCTTGAGTGGGGAAGCAGAGAAGGGAAATGGTTTGATCAGGAATATGCCCCTAACCTCACCATGAGGGTACCAATCCCATGAGCCCCACAGACCCTGCTGCCCTCCTTGTGCCTTTTTAGTTGCTCCTTAAGACTTGTGCATCCTGCATCCTAAAAAAGCTTCCAGACTCTCAGCCCCTACCCCACTTTCTCCAGTTCTATTTATAATCACAGCCAGCTGAACCTCTTTATCTCCCTGCTGCTTCCATCTCTTCCAATTCACTATGCACTCATCTAGTCAGGCTCTTGCTTATGTGTGTTCCATGGCTCTCCATGCCCATAGGATAAAGTTCCTCCTCCTCCCTTCTCCTGGCTGACCATGTCACACATTAAACATTGTTCTGACTGTCTTTCTGTCAGGAGTGAGGGTATCTATCCTCTTGGCCAGAGCAGGGGGCAGGGGCTTGCCTTCTTTCCTCTTTCCCAAGGGGAGAGGGCCTGGTAGTCTCTTGACCAATTTCACTGAGTAAAAAAGGGCTTGTCAGGGTCCCAACCCCCAAAGGCTTTCAAAATATGTCCAGTCCCCTTTCAAGAATTGAGGGAAAGTAAAGTATGAACCATGTCAAACAGCATTCAGCTACCTACCAACCTTGTAGGGCCCTGATGCCAGTTTTTCCCAGAACCAGTCTCCCTTACTCCACCAGGATCTTTCCCTCCCATGCACCAGCCTCCACCCACCTGGTTCTGTGCTAAAGGTCAGAGGGAGTGGCCTCTGCAGAATCTTTCCTGCCTCTGTCCTCTCCCTGACCCAGTGAGCTGTCTCCCACAGTCTAATCCAATTGGTACACCCTTGGCACCCACCTG